GAGACACTGCCTTAAAAGTTAATAAATAAAGACGTATGAAGTGGTTTGTGGATGTTCTAGGTGGTGCAGTTGCAGAACCTTCAACTTCACCTGTACTTATGGCTGTATTTCTCAGTATAAAGTAATATTTGTAGTTTTAAGTGATTTCTTTCTTTCTTATTTTGTTTTTTTCCAAGACATGGTTTCTCTGTGACTTTGGAGGATGTCCTGGAACTAGCTCTTGTAGACCAGGCTGGTCTCGAACTCACAGAGATCCACCTGTCTCCCAGTGCTGGGATTAAAGGCATGTGCCACCAACGCCCGGCCTTTAAGTGATTTTTTTGGAACATGCAAAAAAAAGGAAAAAAACAGTAAGAGAGCACTGGGAGACAGCTCAGTGGGTAAAGAGCTTGCGGTACAAACAGCCGCCAGCACCCATGCAAGAGCAGGTATGTGGGTGGGTGCCTGAGCCCCAAGTTTGGGGATGGAAACAAGGGGAGCCCTGGAGCTCACTGGCCAGCCAGGCTAGGCGGGTGGGAGAGCTGCAGCAGCGAGGGGCCCTTCTCCGAAGGAAGGTGGAAGGAGGTTTGGAGGAGACACTGACCTTAGGTCTCCATGTATGCATGTGTGCGCACGCACCTACAGCCTCCTATCAGATACACACACACAAGGATACAAACAAAATCGATTCTAGCTGACGACTTCAAGCACTAACACAATTTCTTCTGTCCAGTGACGAGGTCAGAGCCAAGCAACATGGGCTGTGTCTCCAGCGGCAAGCAGCAAGGTAGCCCAACAGACCCAGAGTACAAATAGCTTCCTGCTGCCTGAGTCTGGGCTCTGGCCCTTCTGCCAACGGATCAAGGAATAATGGACAGGCCCTGGGGAAGAATAACAAGGGGCCCCGCCTCTGCCCCCCCCACCTGTCACTTAGTCCTACAGGCGTGAATCCACTCACAGATGCCCCTTAGCAGAAGCTTTCTAGAACCATCCATCTAGAGTCTTCTCACCCAGTACCCTTTGTTCAGGGAGGGATTTCACATCATCTCCTGACTGACCACCCAAAATATCCAGTCACTTAAAAACAGCTTTGTGCAGCTACTGGCTAATGCTGAGCAATTAGGCATTCATGATGCCCCCCGCTGCTGAGTGGTCCTTAGTTTAATAAGGGACTATTAAAAGCCATAAAAATCTCACCCAATATAAAGCTGCCAAAGCCGATGCCTTGATGGCTTCAGAAAGAGACCCCACACGTGAAACCCAGATGTCTTAGACGTTTTAGAATGTGCGTTGCATTTTGTGGCCACACATGTTAATTCTAAAAAGTGCTTTTAAATTCTGAGTAGAAAAGAGGATGTAGATTTTTCTGAGAAGGGGGTGGGCAGGTGCTTTCCTTCCGGCTTCCATGTTCAACTTGGCAAGGCTCGTTAGAAACAGGCAGTTGGGTGCCAGTCACCGGGCACCCTTCCCAGCTGCTCCAACCCCACAAGCAGCCTTGGATTATGCTGCTGGGTATTTGGGTATTTACACTGTACAAGCAGGGAGGGAAGCTGGTTTCCAACTCCCTATGTAGCCAAGGATGACCTTGAACTTCCGATCCTTCTGCCTCCACCTGACCAGCGGGATTACAGGTGTGCGCCAGCATGTCTGCAGCCTCCACCTGCCCAGTGCTAGGATCACAGGTGTGTGCCAACATGTCTGGTTTATGTGGTGCTGGGGAATGAACCCAGGGCTTCTTGAATGCTGGGCAAGCATCTTACCAAGAGAGCTAGCTACATCCTTACCACTCCCACTCCTTAAAAAAAATTACCTTTCTTAAAGCTGTGTGGTAGCGCACAACTTTAATCCCTGGAGGCAGAGAGGCAGGTAGATCTCTGTGAGGACAGCCTTGTATGCACATTGAGTTTCAGGACAGCCGGGGGGCTACATGGAGAGACCCCGCCTCAAAAACACAAACAAGAAAAGAAAATGTCATCTGTCTGTCTGTCCATCCATCCATCCATCTATCTAGTATGTGTTTAGTGTGTGTGCATACTACTGGGCATGCGTGGAGGTCAGAGGACAACTAAGAGTCCGTTCTCCCACTGCACACAGCACTGGAACTGCCTGAGGTTGCCAGGCTTGGCACAAGGTGGCTTTACCCAGAGTCGCCTCATTGTCCCATCCTCCATTTTGTGCCCCCAAAGAGGCAGGGTCAAGCAGTTCTGACTGCTGGAGAGAAAGCTCATGGAAAGAGCTTCTGTAGCTTTGCTTCCTCAGCCTGTTCCCCACTCAGGACAGACGGACAATGTGGGAACATTTCCCTGGACCTATTCTTTTTCCTTTGTTTTTCCTAGACAGGGTTTCTCTGTATTGTTTTGAAGGCTGTCCTGGAATTCTGTGTAGACCAGGCTGGCCTTGAACTCACAGACATCCACACGCCTCTGCCTCCCGAGAGCTGGAATTAAAGATGTATTCTTTAATTAAGGTGACAGGAAGCCATCGCTATGGGTGCCACTTCTACATGCGACCCCCAGACCAGCCTGGCGGGAATGGAGTCGCTCTCACCAAGTGCCACATCACCAGCCTCACCCGCCAGAGCGTCACTGGTCCCAGAGCTTTTCCCGGAAGCAGGAGTCGATACTGACAGGAAGTGCTGGGTGTGGAGGAGCAGTCAAGATGGGGAAAGAGTGGGCCCCAGGTCAGTCTGGGCTACATAACACATTGAAAGCCACTCTGGACATTTCAGCTAGATGCCGTTTCAAAACAAAACCTGAAACGGCTGTGGGTGCATCCCAGTGACAAGGAGTCTGCCCGGGATTCCCTGAGCTCAACAAAGAAAGGCAGGGCGAGGGGTGTGGCTCAGCCGGGACCGTTTGCCAGGCCGGCCTGAAGCCTGGGTTTGGTCGTTAGCACCACCTGGACTAGACGTGGCGCACAAGCCTGCAATCCCGGTGCTTAGAAGATGGAGGCAGGAGGATCAGGAATCCAAGGTCACCCTCAATGCAGACAGGGCTACTCGAACCCATCTCACAAAACAACCTGGCCTTAGTTTTGAAGTAACTGTAAACAAGCTGCTGCTGTTTTCTCCATTTCCCTGCTTTCGCTTTACAGACTCCTCAGACCTGCCCTGCTGACAGGACATAGTCCTCCCTGGCAGATGCAAGCTGCCTTCTGCACCCTGGGGAGCTAGAGGCCGATTGACCAATTAATTAAATGTGTTGTGATTTTTTTTTTTTGTCTCCTTGACAATCTTTGGTCACTGGCCAATCGAAACTGCTTCTTTTTCACTCTAGGGAACAAAGATAAACTATTATTTGAAAAAACAAAACAAAGAAACCAAAAAGCCCTCTTGTCAGGAGACAACTCTCCCACGGGGGAAAGAATGAGAAGCCAGTGGAGTGGAGTGAGAGGAAACAAATTCCACTCAAGGTAACATCTGGGTGAGGAAGGAGGATGGCGAAACCCTAGAGAAGTCAAACACAAAGCGGCTGCCAAGGCCGTCACCTCAGAGAACAAGGTACTGGAGTTGGAGACCAAGCCCAAGGTTGAGAGCACTGGTTGCTTAGGCAGAGGACCCAGGGTCCATCCCCAGCACCTGCACAACAGTCTGTATCCTTCTTCCTATGCTGCAGTTCCAAGGCATCTGGCGCCCTCTTCTGGCCTCCAAGGGCACTGTACGCTGTGGTACACAGACAAATGTACAGGCACATACAGACACAGGTAAGTAAAAATAAAGGCAGCGGGGGCAGGATAGATGGCTCAGTGGCTAAGAGCACTGGCTGCCTTTCCCAAGGATCGGAGTTTGATTCCCAGCACCCACGTCAGGTGGCTGACAGCCACCAGGAACTCTAGCTCCCGGGATCCCTTGCCTTCTCTGGCTTCTGTGGGCACCAGCAGCAGAACATGTGTCCACGCTCAGACTGACACACACAAAAATAAGAATAGAGTCTTGGGGGCTGGAGAGATGGCTCAGAGGTTAAGAGCACTGACTGCTCTTCCAGAGGTCCTGAGTTCAATTCCCAGCAACCACATGGTGGCTCACAGCCATCTGTAATGAGATCTGGCGCCCTCTTCTGGCCTGCTGGCATACATAGAGGCAGGATGTTGTATTCATAATAATAAATAAAATCTTTAAAAAAATAATAGAGTCTTCGAGATAAATAACAGTTTCCCAGAAATCCAGCGACAGTGTGGGGCTGACGAGACAATGGCTCAGTGCTCAGGAGCAGCTGCTGCAGCACAGGCTCGGTTCCCAGCACCCCAGACAACTCACAACCGTCTGCAGCTCCAGTTCTAGGAGCTGCAGCGCCCTCTTCTGACCTCCGTGGCACCAGGCACACATGTGGTGCACGTATATACATGTGAGCAAAACATGCACACAAACAAAAGTAATCTGAAAACTATCCAAAAAGAAAATCACAGTTCACTGATATTTATAAATAAAAGTAACCAGACAGAGCCTGCCATCTAGGAAAGAAGAAAATCAGGAAGCTAAGATGGAGGCATGCTATTTTTCACAGGACCTGTGACAAGAGCAGGGTCACGGCTGGGGAGGAGGCTCAGTGGCTAAAGCATTTGCCGAGCAAGCCTGACAACCTGATCAACCCCCAGCTCCCCAGGAACTGCACACAGCAGGACGCATCTGTGACCCCAGCCTGAGAGGAGAACCCCGGAAGGCGGCGGGCCAGCTGGCCTATGTACCCAAAGGTGAACGGCAGGGAGACCTTGTCTCAAACCAGATGAAGTCAAGGATGTACGCTGGCGATGTCCTGACTCCTGCAGGCACACCTGAGCACACACACACAGAGGGACCAACCAACCAGCACTCAGAGCCCACTCTCAGCATTAGACTGCCAGCGTGGGCTAGCCTGACACCTCCTCCCCTGCGTGGGATGCCAGCGTGGGCTAGCCTGACACCTCCTCCCCTGCGTGGGATGCCAGCATTGGGCTAGCCTGACTCCTCCTCCCCTGCGTGGGATGCCAGCATTGGGCTAGCCTGACACCTCCTCCCCTGCATGGGATGCCAAGGCTGACTTTACCTTTAGAGCACCACAGAGCTCCACGGTGTCGGCATCGTCTACCACAGTGATTCTGAAGTTGGGTGTCTGCAGCAGCTCTTTGAAGAGAAGGCCATTCTGCATCACTTTGCTGCCTGTAGGAGGGTTGGGAGAGCCAGAGATTAGTGGCGTGTCCTGTGTCCACTTTTACGCCCAGCAGAGGTTAAAGTATTAACTTTTATTACAAAAGTAACATGGGCTCTTCACACACACACACACACACACACACACACACACAGAGAGAGAGAGAGAGAGAGAGAGAGAGAGAGAGAGAGAGAGAGAGAGAGAGAGAGAGAGAGCGAGAGAGCGAACAAGCACATAGCTATGGACCCAAAACCATAGCTCTCATCCCCAGATCTACAAGAGCTAACTTCAGTCAAGTCCAGCCTTGCTGGGTTTTTTAACACAGATGTGATTTTTTAGGGTAAACTTCAATTCAGGTAGCAGAAACAGAAAATAATGATATCCCTTGCCTAGCACTCGGGAGGTTTAGGCAAACAATATAGGAGTTCAAGGCCAGCCTATGCCACATAACACCTGTCTCAAAAATCGAAAACCACTGTGTGCTGGCACGGTGGCCAGTGGGTTAATATACTTGTTGTAAAAGCCTGACTGTAACGAGATTCTTCCCGCCAGCCTGGCCCCAGAGCCGCGTCAGTCCCAAATGAACACGCAGGACGCTATATTAATTATGAAGCTGTTGGCTGTTTGCAGTGGTTTCTTGTTGGCTAGCTCTGACTTAATTATTAACCCATAACTGCTAATCTGAGTATTTCCACATGGTCTTCTCTTACCGGAGAAAGGGTCCGAACCTCTTACTCCTCTGGCGTGCTACATGGTGACTGACTGTGCCTCTGTTTCCCAGAATCCTCCACCCCTCCTAGTCCCACCTATCTTGCTTCCCTATTGGCCAACAGTGCTTTATTCATCAACAAGTAGGACAAACATATACACGGAAGGACTTCCCCCGTCACCTGGAGACTTGGGTTCTCCCCATGTAAAGGTGGAAGGGGAGAACCAACTCCACAGTTGTCCTCTGACCTCCTTAGCACAAACACCCCACCCTACACAGTAATAGTTGATTTTGAAGAAAATCTAGTTACCCCTCATACTAGAACCCATTATTTACAATTCAACAGGTATCTTTAGTTTACTGAATATAAGTACATTTGACATACATTTTAAAATTATTAAACATGAAAGGTTTTTCTCGAGACAGAATGTAAGATCTATGTGTGTTTTAGGATCTGCCTTGTCATCAGGACATCCATTCAATCCTCAGGATCCCGGCAGACCAGCTGGGATACGTCCACCCCCCACCATTGGGGCTGAACAGCTACTAGATTCTTGGCCTCTCCATTCACAACTGGCCATTGCTAGACTGCAGCCTGTCTGTCATTCATAAGTTCTGTGACTCTAGAGAATCCTGACTTATACAAATAGAAACAGTCGGTTGTGATGATTTTAATCCAGCACTGGAGGCAGAGACGGGTGAATGTCTGAGAGTTCAAGGCCAGCCTGGTCTACACGGCAAGACCCTGTGGCAAAGAGTGACACAAGGCAAACCATCAGAAATCAGCCCTGGCAACCCACATGTTACATGTTACATGTAACCCTGGTGTCTGTGAGAGTGAGTCAGAAGCCATGAGCCCCAGGTTAGCCTGGGCTACATGGAGAAGCTGTTTTCAAAAACACCAAACCTGGGGCTGGAGAGATGGCTCAGAGGTTAAGAGCACTGACTGCTTTTCCAGAGGTCTTGAGTTCAATTCCCAGCAACCACATGGTGGCTCACAGCCATCTACAATTCAATCTGGTGTATATGTAATAAATAAATAAATCTTTAAAAAAAGAAACACCAAACCTTTATTGCACAGTGTTGTTTTTGTTATCCTGGGTTTTTTTGTTTTTCCATATAAAGTTGAATATTGTCCTTTCAAGGTCTGTGAAGAATTGTGCTAGGATTTTTATGGGGATTGCATTGAATCTGGCATTTTTACTATGTTGATACTACCTATCCGAGAGCATGGGAGATCTTTCCATTTTCTGGTGTCTTCTTTAATTTCTTTCTTTAAAGACTCAAAGTTCTTGTCATACAGGTCTTTCACCTGTTTGATTAGAGTTACCCCAAGGTATTTTATGTTGTTTGTGGCTATTGTAAAGGGTGATGTTTTTCTGATTTCTTTCTCAGCCCATTTATCTTCTGTATATAGTAGGGCTACTGATTTTTTTAGTTAATCTTTTTTTTTTTTTTTTGGTTTTTCGAGACAGGGTTTCTCTGTGGCTTTGGAGGCTGTCCTGGAACTCACTTTGTAGACCAGGCTGGCCTCGAACTCACAGAGATCCACCTGCCTCTGCCTCCCAAGTGCTGGGATTAAAGGGGTGCGCCACCAACGCCCGGCTTTAGTTAATCTTGTATCCTGCCACTTTGCTGAAGGTATTTATCAACTGTAGGAGTTCCCTGGTACAGTTTTTCGGGTTACTTACGTAAGCTATCATATCATCTGCAAATAATGACAGTTTGGCTTCTTCCTTTCCAATTTGTATCCCCCATGAGAGGCCTCACCCTCCCTGGGGAGTGGATGGGAGGTTGTTGGGGGGTTATGGGAGGGAGAGGGAACTGGGATTGGTATGTAAAATAAGATTGTTTTTAATTTAAATTAAAAAAGAATATATTAAAAAAAAGCAAACAAACCACAACAACAGCAACAAAGGGAAAACAAACCAAAGTAAAACCTTCCCCATGGTGCCCGGTGTGAAATCTGCTCTGACTGGTGGGGTGGGGTGTGTTGGCAAATCCCCAGGGTCTAACTCAGGACCTTAGGCCACAAGCCAGCAGCAACTATCAGGACAGTGGAAACCACCCAAGACTCTAGCCCCAGGCTCTGCCTGTCTCCAGGTGGGAGACAGGCTGTCCCCAGGCTTGGCTGCAAATGCCACCACCCGGGAGCTTTCAGAACACTGCTAACCAGGCCGCGGCCCAGATGCATGAAATCACAGCCCCCGGAGTGGAACAGCAAGCTAGTTTCTGAGGTTCCCTAGATGATTTGGACAGAAACCAAGCTTGCAGAACCTTGATTTAACCCTCCTCCAGGTTCCTCCTGAGAAAACACACCGGGTACTCCCATGATGGCTGCAAAGTTAAATAAGAATCAGAAAGGAAACAGCCTTGGTGGAAACAGGGCTCCAGTCCCACAATTACGATGTCAGCTGACATTTGCTGGTGTGTGTGTGTGTGTATGTGTGTGTGTGAATGTGAGTGTGATTGTGTAATTGTGTGTCTGTGCAAGGTGCTTGCCTGTGTGACTGGAGGTCAGATGTGGGCTATTTCCTCTTCCATTCCATATTATTTTTCAGATCACATATATGTTAGAAACAATGTTAGATGTCTGGGGTGTGTGGCCCTCTCAGGACTTCTGTGAGTAAATATGGAACCATACTTGCTTTCGAAAGCACACTGGCTTTGTAAAATCAGCAGAAAGGCAAGTTCTCCACAAGGGGGCAGCAGCGCACACTATGACAGCATTGCTATCTCGTGCTCTAAATTATGCCGATTCCACACCCCCCAGAGAAAACACAAGCGGGCTGATACTCCCCACTCTAGAGTTAAACATCCACTGGTCCTTAATGCCATCAATCCAGAGACCCGGAGGCTAGAGATGGAGCTCACTGGCAGAGGGCATAGCAAACCCAAGGCCCAGCACCATCTAATCATCAAGTGAGTTAAGGGGTAGCTCAGTGGTTGAGTACTTACGAGGACCTGAGTTCAGTTCCCAGTATCCATGTCAGGTGGTTTACAGTTACCCCTAAATCCAGCTCCAGGGTATCCCACCCCTCCAGCTTCTAGGGCAGCTGTATTAATGCATACCACCCTTCCACATACATTTAGAAAAAGATAAATCTTTAAAGTCATGGAGGCCAGAAGGCAATGCTGGGTATTCTTCCACAGTAACTTGTTACCTTTTAAAAAATTGTTTTATTTATAAGTGTGTATGGATGTTTTGCCTACATGTCTGTAATATGTACCACGTATGCACCTAGTGTCCACAGAGGCAGAGAGAGCATTGGATCCCCTAGGATTGAAGTTAAGAGACATTTCCCTCTCTTTTCTTTTTCTTTGATTTTTCCCGACAGGGTTACTCTATGTAGCTCTGGCTGTCCTGGAACTCACTATGTAGACGGGCTGGCCTCAAACTCACAGAGATCCACCTGCCTCTGCCTCCCCAGTGCTGGGACTAAAGGCGCGTGCGCCACCACCGCCCGGCAATTACAGGCATTCCCAGCCTCCATGTGGCTGCTGTTCTTCTCTAAGAGCAAAGAGAGCTGAACCACCTCTTCAGGCCCTCCAGCTGTTTTTAGAAGTAGGGTAGCTCGTGGATCCTGGAGCTCACTGATTGGCTAGGCCAGTTGGCCAGCAAGCCCTTGGGATCCTCCGGTCACCGCCTCCCAGTCCTGGGATCACAGACACCTGATTCTGCTTTCTTCATGAGCACTAGGGATCTGAACTTAGGTCCTCCTGCCCTTAGCAGACTCTTCACATCTCCCCAGCACCCTCTCCCCTGCTTTCTACTCTGAGACAGGGTCACAGGTAGCCCAGGTGCACCTCAAATTCACCATGTAGCCAAGGATGGCCCTGCACTCCTAATCGTCCTGCCTCCACCTATTAGAATACTGGAATTACAGGCTTGAGCTCATAGGTAGAGCATGTGTGTAGCACATATGAGGCCCCCAGCCCCAGAGCAGGGAAGAGAGAAAGAGCCCAGTGGGAGTCGGGGAACAAACAGGAATGGTACAGGCTCCGCCCCCAGCACTGCGAGCGCCGCCGCCCCTCCCCCCCACGCATGCGCGCGCGCAGCCTCACCAATGGTGGTCTCACAGAACTTCTCCGCAGCCACCTCACTGGCGATGTTGGCTCCCATCAGCACACTGATGTCAATACCCATCTTCTCTCTGATGATGTCGGAGATGAGCTTCAGCCCTTCCGGGCCCTCGTCTATGCCCTGGAAGGATGCAGAGGAGTGGGGGGGGGGGCAACTGCATGTCAAAGTGGCAAGAGACACTCGCACCTGCAATCCCACCACACTTGTAACCCAGCTGAGGCAGGGGGACTGCTCTGAGTTCAAGGCCAGCTTGGGGTACGGGGCGAGACTGTCTCTGTCAAACACCCACGATAGAATGGCATGAGGCAGGTCGTTTGGGGTAAGATGGTGTGGGAGCCACAGATGATCTCACGGATGAGCACTAGGGGAGCCGGGAGTGAGAACTCACGGGGTTGTCTCACCACAGCGAGAGACGTACAGCCTGTTTCCTGTCCCGTAGCCTGGGAACGGGCGTGGTTAATAGCCTGGCGACCTTTGTGCTGTCTGTGTGATGACACCACATCAGAGCCTCCCCCAGGCCTTATCATGAGCTTGTTTTTCTCAATCTATAGAGCCATCTTACAAAGAGTTTTGTTGTAGTCTTAGGCCTTATTGCGTACATGGGATTGAGTTAATTATCACCAGGAAATTTTTTTCACAGGATTGTGCTGCGCTTAAATATGCCTAAAATAAACGACCTGGGGGTCAGAGTCTCGACTGGCGGCCGAGTCATGTTGAACCAGACTGCCTTTTGCTCTTGAGAATCGACACACTGCTGGCCACAGGGTTTCAGGGACCCCTACGAGGTGGCCAAGGTTACTTTGAGGTATGGGAGCTCTGGCCTGAGAGCACACAGGCCCAGTGGCACCTTCCAGGGCTCCTGGAGGCTCTAAGGAGCAGGCTACTGGGGTGGCAAGGGAGCTCCTGATGGTTACACAGGGGGGCTGGATCCATAGCATATGCTACCCCTAAAGTCACGACAGGCACCAATTTAGTTCCATCTGTCACTGACAAGTGAACAGTGGCAGTACCTGTGAACAGGGCAACTGCACTGTCATCTGGCTCTGGCTGCCCAAAGTGTGGAACCTATTATAAGCTGGTGCCACACCCTCAGGCCCAATTCTTTTCTCTAGGGTGGGGAGATAGATCTGTGTTTCATTCCAGCTCCAGGGGGGATCCGATGCCTCTGGCCTGCAAAGGCACCTGCACTCACGTGTGCACAGCCATATTTTAGACATGCACACATAATTAACAAAATAGATCTTTGCTAGCTCCTTCATTGGCTCCTCCCATAAAAGGCAGGGTGGGGGGTCCTCTCCCCAGGTTCCTCTCCTTCTCCCCACCCTTCTCCCGTCTTACAGAACAGCCATCCTGAGTGCTGTCAACACCTCACTCAGTTTTCTTTTACTAAATTAATGTTTATTGTGTATCAGCATTTTGCCTGCACGTATGTCTACCATGTGTGTGCAGTTCCCGAGAAGGCCAGAAGAGGGCACCAGGTCCCCAGACGCTCTGAAGCAGAGGAAAGAGGGAGTGAACAGGGGAACCAGGGCCCAAGGACCTGCGTCCTGTCTGCCCTTCACGAGTAGTTACCTTGATGAGCGTGATGCCCAGGGCCTTCTTCGGCACCCTGCCTGTGATCTCATCGCAGATCTTGTGAATGAACTGGTGGGGGATGACAAACACCAGCAAGTCTGCGTCCTGCACGGCCTCGCTGAGACTCGGGACAGCGACCTGCAATAAAGTTGGGAGACAGATAACTTCTGCAGAAGTCCTGTCAGCCCATGCCCTCACCCTCTAGAATGCTCACAGCCATAAAGTGCCGCCATCACCATCCCCATCCTTTCCTGGAAAGGGACCCTGACAAGTCCTTTTAATTAAGTGTTGCTAGATTTTTAGAATTGCATCGTGTGAGTGTGCGTGTGCGTGTTGTGGCATGTATGCAGAGGGCAGGGGACAACTCAGGTCTGTCCAGCTCTGTGTGAGTACCGGGAATCAAACGCAGGCCATCAGGGCTGGGTACCGATGCCTTTACCCCCTGGGCCAACTCATCTGCCCTGTGTGGTTCTCATTACTGTTTTTTTGAGACAGGGTTGCCCTGGAACTCACCATGTAGCCTAGGCCCATCCTCCTCCCTCAACCTCTCTTTAATCCTGGGTACCAAAATGTTGATAAGGCAGAAGGATCAGGAGTTCAAAGTTATCTTTGGCCGCATAGCAAGTTTGAGGCTAGCCTGGTCCGCACAAGGTCAAAAAGTCAAAAGCCAAACCGAAACTAAAGCCCCACTGATGTGTACAGACATACGGATTTTAATCTCGATGAGAACAGAGTTTTTGAAAACTGGCAGAGCTCGGCAGACAAGGATGAGAGACACAATGAGAAACAATCCCACAGGGCACTGCGATCAGTGGCTCCCATGTCACACCGGGGCCAGCTGAAGCCGGCGTGCCAACGCAGAAAGAAGCAAGCCTCCACTTGGCTGCGCTCCAAACACGAGTTCCCAGTGGAGAGCAGTGAAGTCAGATGGACCACTGTTCTTCAATGGCAGGAAATAACAAGTGCCCTCTCCATTCGGGTCCAGGAAAATCATCCCCACACCCCGCACCAGCCAGCTTCTATCGAGCCAGTGGTGAAAATGGTAGTCAAAAGGGGACAGTCACCGTCACAGAAGGTTCCTGAGCGGGGCCCTCAGGCAGGGTTAGGTGAGCAATGGGTTAGGGTCCTGCAAGGTGGACTTGGAGTCTGAAGGCACAGCCTCACTGAGAGACAGCTCAGTCAGTAGAGAGCCTTGTCGGGATGCCAGAAGCCCTGCGTTTGATCCCCGGCGCCACATAAACCAGGGGTGATGGGCTGGGGAGGTAGAGGCAGGAAGACGGTGAATCGTCCTCAGCTCCATACCAAGTTCAGGCCACCCTGGAACGCATGGGACCTGGGGGGTGGGGTTGCTTGAGAGATGGCTCAGCGGCTTCTGCTGCTCTTGAAGAGGCCCAGGGTTCAAGTCTTAGCACCCACACGGGGGCTCACAACCATCTATAATTCCAGTTCCAGTGGGTTCAGCACCCTCTTCTGACCCCCATGGGTATCAGGCAGGCATGGGGTACACAGACATACATGCAGGCAAAACACCCACACACATAAAAAAAAAATCCTTAAAAAATAAAAAGGGTTAGTTAAAAGGAGAACCGGGCGTTGGTGGCGCACGCCTTTAGTCCCAGCACTCCAGGGGCAGAGGCAGGTGGATCTCTGTGAGTTCCAAGCCAGCCTGGTCTACAGAGCGAGTTCCAGGACATACACAGAAAAAAAAAAAGCCAGCCATCCTGTGTATGTGCTTCCTTCTCCACTCACAAGGAGACAGGTGCTTAAAATGAGCCTTGAGGTGGTTACAGAAGCCAGAGACAGGAGAGAGCCTAGAGGGGAGAGAAGGCCTGGAGGGGAGAGAGGGCCTGGAGGGGAGAGAGGGCCTGGAAGGAGAGAGGGCCTGGAAGGAGAGAGGGCCTGGAAGGAGAGAGGGCCTGAGTCGAGGGAGGGCCATGCATGTGTGTAGTCCTGGAGTGGGTCATTCCTCCTCCGACATTGGGGGCGGGGTCAGCACGGGCACCTGGCTGTCTACTTGATGTTTGGTGGTTCCCACATTCATGCTCTTGCTTCTTTTTAAGATTTATTTATTATGTATGCAGTGTTCTGCCTGCGTGTATGCCTGCAGGCCAGAAGAGGGCACCAGATCTCATTACAGATGGCTGTGAGCCACCATGTGGTTGCTGGGAATTGAACTCAGGACCTCTGGAAGAACAGCCAGTGCTCTTAACTGCTGAGCCGTCTCTCCAGCCCGGCTCTTGCTTCTTACAGCCGCCGGGCAGATTCATATTCCCCAGTGGTAAGCTGCCTGGTCCCAGGGTACAACTTGTAATCTCAGGGGGGGGGGTGAGGCAAGAGGATCTCGAGTTCAAGCCCTGCCTGGGCAACCTAGGGAGGTCACACCTTAAAATAAAAAGGGAAAGCACCATGGCAGGTAGTCTGGGTCCCTAGAAAAGCAGAAAGCCAGAGTTACAGGCATGGGGCAGATGGAGGGAGCAAGTCCCTTGGGGACTGGTTCAAGGAACGGAACAAGAAGTCAGGTACCCCGCCCACAGAGGGGAAGGAGCCAGACGGTCTTGGGAGACTCTCTCCACCTCCTAACTCCGTAAGCAGGAGTGAGGTCCTGGGTTTCATTCTCTGTTCAGCGTGACCTGAAGCTGTAGTGTTCGTATTTAGGAGGTGTCATATGATCTGGGATCACGCATGCATGTCTTGGGGTGAGGGGCAGGCCTAAAACCGCAAAAGAATGTTAATTAACCAACGAAACGGTCAGTGGGAAGGGCTCTAATCCAGTGTGGCTACTGTCCTTGTACGAGGGGGTACTGGGGGTGGAAGAGACAGCTAGGTGGTTTAAGAGAACTTGCTACTCTTCCAAGAGGACCAGAGTTCAGTTCCCAGCACCTGCCATCAGGTAGTGCACAACTTCCTGTAACTCCAGCTCCAGTGCCCTCTTCTGAACGCACGGGCACAGAGCACACCTGCACATACTTAACGGCGGTAACGACAGTTTCCACAGAAGAAACACAGGCCCTGTCTCAAAGAACAAACCGACCAGAATCCAAGGAAAGCGGAGCCCATCAGGTGACACTGGAGACACGGGAAAGGGAGGTGGCTTTGCCTCATCCAGTCCCCGGTGCCACTCAGAGGATCACAGCCTGGAGAGCGAACCACGGGTGCCCCGCCAAGTCTTACCACATTCTCTGGCAGCTTGTGTCCGGGGAGATATTTCACGTTCTCGTGGTCATTGTTGATGATGTCTGTCAGCTTCCTCCCGTTAACGGTCTCCTCAAAGACCCACATCTTGACCGTGGAGGCAAACTTCTGCAGGTTCTTTACATTATTCCCAATGATTTTTGCAACAGCTGATCCCCTGTAAGGAGACCACGGAGGAGCAAAACAAACAAACAAACAAAAAAAAAGTAAGCTCACTTTGGAAGAGAACAAGGAGTGGACTGGAAGGCAAAAGCCTTGCGTCGAGGCAGCTCAAGGTGAGTGGCACAGAGCGGGACTCAGTTGTTCTCATGGGAAATCCTGCAACAAGTAGGCAGGCACTCTACGGACTGAGCTACACCCCAGGCAGTGGACCTTGCCTTGGGGGACGCTCCAGATGGACCTCAATTAAACCTAAGGCCTCAAAACACACACACACACACACACACACACACACACACACACACACACACGATCAACTCTGTGGTGCTCTGCTGTGAAATTAGTGATTCCAGCACTGGGAGGCAGAGCTAGGGGGAAATCAGGCCTTGAAGGCCATCCTTGGCCACCTAGGGAGTTGGAGGTACCCTGGGCTACAAGAGACTTCTTTAAAAAAAAAAAGGGGGAGACAGAGGCAGGAGGACATTTGTGAGATTTAGTCCAGCCAGGGGCTATACAATGAGACCCTTTTCATCTTTTTCTTCTTCCGATCTATCTATCTATCTATCTATCTATCTATCTATCTATCTATCTGGTTTTTCGAAGCAAGGTTTCTCTGTGTAGTCCTGGGGGCCTGGAACTTACTCCGTAGACCATGCTGGCCTCGAAGTCAGAGATCCACCTGCCTCTGCTGGGATTAAAGGCGTGCGCCACCACCCAGATGTGAGACCTTTTCTTAACAACAACCCCAAACTAATACTGAACAAAACAACAACACAAAACTTCCCTGTCAACCAAATAAATGAGGGCTGGAGACACGGCTTGGTGGTTAAGAGCACAGGCTGCTCTTGCAGAGGACAGGGTTCAATTATAGCACCCAAATGGTGACTCACAATTGTCTGTAGCTTCAGTTGCAGGGAATTTGTGATGCTCTCTTATGATTTCCACTGTCAGGGGAACATGGGTGGATTTTTTTATATAAAGTCTCAATCTTTATGAGTTCAAGCCCTGATGTGTTTCCCACAATCCCTTTCCTGTTCAATCCTATTTGCCCTAGTCTTAAGTAGAACAAGCTTCCTGGTAATACAGACATAGACCCCAAGCTGTGTGCAGGGGGTGGAGGGATGGGAAGTCAGGTCTGTGCCCTCCTGAAGCCTAGACACTGGGAATGGACAATGGTATCGTCCCAGTATGGCAGCTGTTGTGCGGACTTTTTCCCGGGTGGGAGTGGGGGGGGGGTTAGAAGCAGCTGCTTGCTACCAACAGCACACCAGTGACAAACCAAAGCAGATTCCAAACCCAACCAGGGGACCAATGACCAGTGGGTTTACTGGGCTACCTCACAGAGCATTAGTGAGGAGCTAACTGTGGGAACATGGGTGACCAGAAAGTGCCAAAGTCCCTGCAAAGTCTCATCCCGGTGACAAACTTCCCTGTAGCTAACATGGATGGAGCCTTTCACTCAGTAAACCTTCCATTCTCTAAATATTGTTTTCTTGAGGCCAGGGCCAAATGGGATCCCAGGAAAGGGCTCTTGGGAAACAGGTCCGGGCTAGAACTTGGCATCTTGGCGTTCAGAGGGTGGGGCTCGTGGTGGGGCGTGCCTCACCAGGTGAAAGTACCTGCCACACAAACCCGATGACTTGAGTTTGATCTCCACAACCCACAGTGGGAGAGAAAACCAAATCCTGAGAGCTGTCCTCTGACCTCCACAGGGTGTCATGACACACCCGTGCGTGCTCGCGGTGCCAGCACACGCTTACACATAAACACACTAAAAATACATTTTAAAATGTGCAAAACTGTGTGCTTGGTTCCTAGCACTGAAATAAGAAAAATAAGAAGGGGGCCGGAGCTGCAGTTCAGTTGCTAGACAGCTTGCCTAGAATGTACGAAGCCCTGGGTTTCATCCTCAACCAGGTGTGGTGGCACACACCTGTAGTCCTAGCACTTGGCAGAGGCAGAAGGATTGGAGTTCAAGGCCATTTGAAGTTAAAGGGTGGACTGACATCCCATCTTAAAGGAGCATGAAGAGACCCTGGGCTACAGGGGACAGGGAAAGGCAGCTAGGAGTCAGGGTGTGCCAGCCTGGTGTCTACCAGGCATCATGAAGTTTCCAACACCTCACCAACACTTTCCCTTGCAAGGCAGGTGCTGAATGAAGGGTGGGTTGGGCTTGCCCAGTTGGAGGTAAGGACCATCTATCTAATTGAGATCATGGTGGGAAAGTGCAGTTCAGAAGAGCTCCTGCCCCAGGGTGTGAATCTGATGGGAAGGGCTTTGACTTAGGTTTCTTCATGTAAAGGATTGGTGACGGGTAGACCAGATGGCTCAGCGTAAAGGCACCAGTCAGCAAGCCTGCCGGCCAAGAGTTCTGTCTCTAGGACCCACTCAGTGGTTGGAGAGACTCCTACAAGTTTGTTCTCTGACCTCTATTGTGGAGTGTGCCCCCTCCCTTAAATGTAATATAAGGGCTCCTGACTGCTCTTCCAGAAGACCAGGGTTCGATTCCCAGTACTCACATGGAGCCCACAACTGTCTGTGTCTCCAGCCCCAGGGATCTGGCCCCCTGGATCACATATATATATATATATATATATATATATATATATATATATATATATATATTGTACACAGACATACAAGTTGTCACAACACCATACACATAAAATAAAAACAAAGGTACAAATTTTTAATGCAATTTAAATTTTTAAAAGTAAATAAATGAAGTTCTACCATGCTCTGGTTTACTAGTGGGCTCTGGGAATATAACTCAGGTCCTCATGCTTGCAGGGTTAACACTTTTACCAGCAAAGCCAATCCTAGCCCCTTGCTCTCTCCTTTAACCAAGAAGGAAAGGGGTCCAGGGAGATTGAGCGTGTGGCCACACTGTCCATGACCAGAGCTCCCATCCCTCCCAGGCCTGTCTGAGCTATGTGGTTCGCCAGGCAACCAAGCATGCTGGTGAGTTTTCTATTAAACAACTTCTAGCCGACACTGGCTCACGCCTTTAAAATCCCAGTACTCAGGAGGCAGAGGCAGGTGGATCTCTGTGAGTTGGAGGCCAGCCTGATCTACATGAGCGAGTTCCAGAACAACCTCCAAAGCTACACAGAGAAACCCTGTCTCGGAAAAAAAAAAAAAACAAAAACAAAAAACCAACATCTAGTCTTCAATCCTCAAAACAATGCCTGAAAGAAGCCAAAGCATTATGAATAATCCCATCTGGCCACCCAGGCAGAACCACTGTCAACACCCTGTGTGACTCGGCAGTTAAAGGGCTTTCAAAGTACAGCCTGGTCTACAGAGCGAGCTACAGGACACCCAAGGCTACACAGAGAAACCCTGTCTTGAAAAACCAAACAAAAACGAAAACAAAAATAAAAAAAAACCCATGAGTTGAGAGGTTCCCTTTAATTTTAGATGAAGGCAGTTAGGTCTACAGCTCAGGACGTTTCTGTACACACAGAAGCAAACTGCTTCCTTCTTCTAGTGCTGGAAAAAACCAGGTAGAAACAACCCGATAGTGAGAAGAAGCTGCTTCACCGCATGGGGCAGCATTTCTCAAGCTTGGGGGGAGGCCAGTACTTAAACAGGGGAGAGGGGGGGCAGTTCCTTACCCCAGACACTAGCTGCAAGAAACACTTGTATGCTAAGCTCCCCGTGTGGTGCTAATTGATGCTTGCTAGTATAACACAGTGGTAAAACACAGAACACTTGCCCAGCACACACAAGAACCTCAGCTTATTCCCTAACACGGCAAAAAGTAAAGAAGAAAATAGATGTAGAGGAGGAGGAGGAGCCTGGGGCGTGGTGGCGCACACCTTTAATCCCCTCACTCTGGAGGGAAGACAATAGTAAGATATATAACCCTGCCACTTGAGATTTAGGTAGGGACAGTGCCAAGGGTTTGAAGCCAGTCTGGGCTGTACGGTGATGCTAGGCAACCACAGAACATTGCTTCAAAAACAAAACAGGCAGATCTGCGTTCAAGGCTATCCCGGGCAACAGAGTGACACTTTAGTCTTGCTCACCCTGGAGTGCACTGTGTAGACGGGTCTAGCCGCCAATCCTTGTTGATCCCCCTCCTCAGCCTCCCCAATTGCTGGATGTTGTGGAACATTTATTTTAACGAGGCAAAGATGTGCTATGTTTGTTCATGCTGCCGAATATGACTTTAACTGTGTAAAGGTGTGTTACTTCTGTCTAATTAGGTAACGGTGTGCTGTATCTATTTCACCTTGCCTGCCCAAGCCACCTAATTGGTTTCATGCAGAGCTCAACGCAGGAGAAGGATGGGCGGGGCTAGGAGGCAGAGACAATAAGGAGAAGGAGAAATCTAGGCTCAAGAGAGGAACAAGAGGAGAGGATGAGGGAGACGTCCTGGGTCGGAAGCCAGGCAGAGACCAGCGAGCAGGTTGGAGAAGCTCAGAGAGACGTTAAGAAGCCCCAGGCAAAAGGTAGACACAGAGAAGCAAGCTGAAGTCAAAAGAGCTAGCCAGAAATGCGCCTCAGCATTCAAAACTAATAGGTCTCCTTGTCACGATTTGGGAGCTGGTGGTGGCCCGAAAGGAAGTCTGGTACAGTCGGGTTACAAGCATGAGTCACTGCACCTAACTGAAGGACACCGTTGGCTGCTGACACTGGGTTAGATCCACTCTGACTTCAGCCTTGGTCAAGGACAGTGAACCAAGAAAAGACCCTAACAGCTGACATGGAGGGCCGGGACACCACGTTCTCTGTGTCTCCTGCAGTTACGACCCCAATCTCAGACAGCAGGTACCTTTGGTATTCTAAATAAGGATTTTATAGATGCAGTCTGCTTAAGGCCTGCTGCCAAGCAGGGGACTGAGATAGACATCCAGGGAGCTGCCCCGCCCCCAGCTGCTCCTCAGGCTACTGCCCTACACGGGGGAGGGTGGCACCGGAACCTGTGTCCAAAACACAGTGCCCGAGGTCTGAATTTTACACTATTCCTGAGTGATCTTTCTTGGGGGAGGGGAGGAGGGGAGAGGGGGGAGGGGGAACCCTGGACCCCTGACCCTGGGAAGCTGGCTTATTCTGGGAGATGATTCTTAATGCTGTTTTATTATATTTGCTTAGTTAATGTGTATGCGAGAGTGTGTGTAGGGGTGTGTGTGTGTGTGTGTGTGTGTGTGTGTGTGTGTGTGTGTGTGTGTGTGTGTAAGGGGGGTGTAGAGGGAGTGGAATGGAGAGACAACAGACAGACAGATGGACCGCGGTGCAGATGTGGAAATAGAGAACAACTTTTGAGAGTTTGCCCTCGCCTTCCACCATGTGGGACGCAGAGATCCAAGTCAGGTCATCAGGCTTGGGGGCAAGCGCCTTGCCCCATGGAGACATCTCATCTGCCCACGATTTCTCTGGCGTTTTCACGGGGCTATGGCAAGATGGACAGTATCCCAGCACCAGGCAGCTCCATGGATATTTAGGGCTCCTCTGGCCTGTCAGTCACCAGTTTAGTAGACCACACACCCCCTGCCCTTAATCCAGGACAAGAGTGCCTAACCTAGCCCACTTTGCTCTCCCAGCTAGGTCCTCCGCAGCCACTGGAGCCAGGAGGCTTGAGGGTTATCACTACATCTGTCTGTAAGTGACTGCCACCTCCATGTATATAAACACTCCCATCCCTGGAGGAAAGGTTGCTTAAGCAACACTTAACATTCCTGTGGTGAGGACCAGAGGCGGAAGGAAGGTTCAGCTCCTGTTTGACAATGACCAAAAGGCTAAAGTCCTTTCCCAGGAAAAACCTGCCCCTTCTAAGGAATGATCCTGCACTGGGGTGTCAGCACCGGGGAGGCAGGAAGGCAGGCAGGCAGAGCTCGGAGTTCAAGTTCAGCCTGGTCTACATAGTGTGTGGCTTGCCTGAAATCTTAGCACTGGGTACGCTAGAGGCAGGAGGATCAGATGTTCAAAGTCAGGGCTGGAGCAATGACTCAGGTTAAAAACATTGCTCTTCCAGAGGACCTGGATTCAATTCCCAGCATCCACATGGTGGCTCATAACTGTCTGTAACTCTGGTTCCAGAGGATCTGATGTCAACTTCTGGCCTCCAGGGCACCAGGCACACATACGTACATGCTGGCCAAACACCCCCACAAAATAATAAAAAAAATTTTTTTTTTTGGTTTTTCGAGGCAGGGTTTCTCTGTATTGTCTTGGAAGCTGTCCTGGAACTCGATTTGTAGACCAGGCTGGCCTCCAACTCACAGAGATCCACCCGTCTCTGCCTCCCAGTGCTGGGATTAAAGGCATGCACCACCAACGCCCGGCAAACGTTTTTTAAAAAGTTATATAAATAAAAGCCCTACATTATGTATTTAAAAATTAAAAAGATCAAAGTCATCCTTTGTATTGAGTTCAAGGCCAGTCTGGGCTATATGAGAACCTTCCTTTAAAAAAAAAGCACGGGGAGGGGGGCACTGTTTAAAATGTAACATCTAGGCTTGTGCCAGACTCCAGTTCAGAGTTTCTATCTTTGCATCTTCTAAGCTCTTGTTTATCTCACACCTGAGTTGCTTAGTAATAGAGACCATGTCCCCGTTCCTGAAAAGAGCAGGACAAACACTGGAATGTGTACCGTCTCAGAGCTGAACACCGTCTTCACCCCCTTTGTTTGTTTGTTTGTTTATTTATTTATTTATTTGAGATTCCTGTATTCTGGCTGGTCTAGAACTTACACTGTAGCCCAGGTTAGCCTCCTATTGTAGTGGTCTTCCTGCCTCAGCTTCTCATGTTCAGGGATTGCAGACAGGAACCATTCTGCCCCCTTCTGGCCCCTTCCTGTTTTTAGTTCCTCTACTTGGGAAGCTCTCGGGAAGTGAGGATCCTCTCTCTAGGACTGGAGTGACTCTGTACCCAGGGCAATGGCGTGAAGCCAACAGCTGTTTCTGTCTGATCCGGTAATTGATGGAGGCAGGCAGCCAGCCCAAACCTTCCGAACATTTCTCAATTGCTACGCCACAGGCCAAGTTCTCCTCGCTCCCGGAGCCGGATCAGACCAAGAATACAGCCAAGTTCATCAGAATGAAGATGCTTCAGGCTGGCAGCCAAGCCTCCGTGAGGGGACAGAAAGGTTCGCTTCATGATCCTTGTTCCCGCTCACTCGAGTGTGTGAGAGCTGGGCCACTCCTGCCTGTAACCCACAAGCTGGAGAAAGAGCCGTCCTCCGTGGGATTGGAGAGAAGGGGGAACTGACATGGAGAGGTGTCGGTGAGCCTAGCACCAGGGGGGCGGAAGTAGGAGGAGCAAGAGTTCAAGGCCATCCTGATTTAGGACAAGGCCAACCTGGGCTAAGCGAGACCCCGTCTCAGAACAACAACAAAATGTGCCCGGCGGCAAGGCAGCTGGCATCTCTCTGCAGTGAGTGACCTTGATATCGTAAGGGGTGAAGCTGAGCTGAAGGTCTGTGTGGAGCTTGGAAGAGGACATACGGGATCCCACTTAATGAGACACAAAGCCCACGGGGAAGTGTTTGTGGGACAGCAGGGACAGTGCCTGCCTGATGGCCTGTGTCATCCCCAGATCTACCAGAAAGAACTCCCAGAAGCTGTCCTCCAGCTACTGTAGGAACTCACAAACACACAATAAAAATAGAAATAGACAGGTGTGGTGGTGACAACTTTTTTTTTTCAAGACAGGGTTTCTCTGTATTGTTTTGGAGGCTGTCTTGGAACTCGCTCTGTAGACCAGGATGGTCTTGAACTCAGAGATCCGCCTGCCTCTGCCTCCCGAGTGCTGGGGTTAAAGGATTTAGAGCTAGAGGCAGGTAGGTTTTTGTGAGTTTGAAGCCAGATTTCTCTATATAGGGAGTAGTAGGACAGCCAGGGTTACATAGAGAGACCCTGTCTCAAAAAACTAAATAAAATTTGGCCAGGCAGTGGTGGTGCACACCTTTAATCCCAGCATTCGGAAGGCAGAGGCAGGCGGATGTCTGTGAGTTTGAAACCAGCCTGGTCTATAAGAGCTAGTTCCAGGACAGCCTCCAAAAGCCTCGGAGAAACCCTGCCTCAAAAAAAAAAAAAAAAAAAGTGTGACTAAGACCAACCAAATGGCCCCTAGGACTCCTGCACTGTACCTCTTCTAGAAGCCTGAGCTGTGGCGTGAGTCAGTCCACAGGAAAACACAACGGGACAGGAGCCAGGAAACATTCCACCTCCCTTCCGGGGCCACGGGAAAAGTCTGGAGCACACCCACACTATGTACAACCTCCTTGTCACCAACACCCCAACTTCTGTGTTAAGTATCGCCAAGCTTAGCTTGAAAGCCCTCCCATCATCAAGCGCTTTGTAAGTGAAGTCAAATCCAGCCCAGTGGAGACAGAAGCTCTGCAAACACCTTCCTTCAGGACACGCAGGACCCAGCAGTGAGGCCAGTGCGGACTTGAACCCCCTTCCCGAAACCACGTTAGCATGATTGGGAACCAGTCCCTAGAGGAGGTGAGAACCGCGGCTTGAAGCACAGCACCTGCCCCTGGTAATAGTAAGAACCCTTTTCGCCCTCTGTGCCTCGGTTTCCCCAATACCAAAACTACAGTAAGAACGACTGAGTCTCCACGGGGTGACCGGCCGGGGAGAACGGAAACACCCTTAGGGTGTTTTGCTAAGTCCACGAGCATGGCGAGCAAGTGGCCAATAGCAGCGCGGTTAGTAGGACGCAGACAGGTGCCTGCAGACGCGGTGCGCGCTGCCACCCGTGCCGGGCACCTCGCGCGCTGGTGCCTCGGCGTGTCCTCTGGGCGCGCAGTGCCCAACCCGGACATGCGATCGCAGGCCCGCCTCTCTGCCTGCCCGCGGTGCCCTGGTGTCCATGCTGAAGCAGAGGGCGAGCAGCCCTGGCCGGCCCGGAACCGGGGCTTCCTGGAGGCGGAGCCCGCGCCGCCCACCCGCCGCTGCTCACCAGTTCCCCGAGCCCACGATGCACACTTTCAGAGGCGCCGCTGCCATGGCCAAGCCGGATCGCTGCTGCACACTGCTTCCCAGGGCCCAGCCGGACCGTTGCAGCAAGCCGGATCACTGCTGCTCGCGCAGTGCCTCCCAGGCCAGCTGCTCACCTCCACAGGATCGGCCTAGTGCAGCCGCTGCGGGCGACCCCGCCCCGCCCTCCTCTCCGCCAATGGCCACTGCCACCCAGTCTGAGCGCCTAGGGCCACAGCTGACAGCCGGGAGGACCCGCCCCACCGCTCCCAAGAACCACTGCGCACGCCTGGTCCAGACTGGTGGCCTGGTCGGACGGCGGAGTCGCCCCACCCCTGCCCGAGGAATGTTGGGATGTGTAGTCCACCTCCCTGCCTGCTCCCGGACCGTGGTTCTGAGCGCGCCACGTGCAGGCCAATGTCTTCGCGCAGAGAGACCCGAGCCCCAAGCCCCTGCACTGTCCAGGACAAAGCAGGACTGACCCAGCCTGTAGAGGTGTAACCTATTCTCTCTCCGCGCAGGGAGAGCTGTCACTCAAGGGTGGAGCCCAGAGAGGCTAAAGGGTTGATTCTGAGTTCACTCAGATTTGGGCTCGGTGCCTGCACTTGCGCTAACAGCGTCTGCCAAATTCGTATAACAGGGACAGATCCAGGTGTCCATGAATTTCTTAGCGATCCTGGAGCTTCTAGGGTCTCCTGCCCTTGACCTGACAGTATTTGCTCTACAGGGCTGGGGTTTGTAGTTCAGTCGGTACAGAGAGGACTAGATTGAACCCATGAAGCCGTGAGTTCCGTCCCCAGCGCCTGGGAGCTGAAATCCCAGGTTATCCTTGGCCACATAAACAATGGGAGGCCACCTTGTCACCTATTCTCAAACAAACACCTTTGCATTTCAGGGCGGAAAATCTGTCTGCACAGGGTCAGGGCAGAAACTTGAGCTGTGTCCCTTATGAACTCATGGGACAAGATTTGCCCCTTTCCTGTCCTTGCCAGGGCTTCGCGGATCTCTGTCGGTGGTCGGTTTGTGTTTGTGGTTTGAAGCCCATGAGCTTGGGGGTGCTCATGCCGTGGCTGCAGAAGCAGTGATGTTGGGGAGTGCTGTAACCCAGCGCCAGGGAGGAGGAGGCCAGAGGACCACAGTTTGAAGTCGTCTTTACCTACACGGTGAGTCTGAGGACATCCTGGGTTACATGAGACTCTGTCACAAAACAAATCAAGGACCCCCCCACACACACACACACCGTGCTCTGCCGTCTAGGTGCCCACTGTCTCACACAAAGTAATGATGATAGATGACATGCAAAATGATAATAAATAATTTTAATCCATTTTTTTGAGACAGGGTCTCACAATGTTTAGCCCTGGCTGTTCTGACATGTGCCAAAGACCAGGTTGGCCTAGTACTCACTTTATATATATGAGGTTGGCCTCCGACTCCAGAGATCTGCCTGCCTCTGCCTAAATAAGTGTTGGGATTAAAGGTAAACGCTGGATTAAATTAATTCCTGGATTAAAATTATTTTGTTTTTTTGAGACAGGATTTCTCTGTAGCTTTGGAGGCTGACCTGGAACTCGTTCTGTAGACCTGGCTGGCCTGGAACTCACAGAGATCCGTCTGCCTCTGCCTCCCGAGTGCTGGGATTAAAATGTGTGCTCCACCACCACCACCATCCGGCTTGTTTTGTTTTAAAATTAATTTAAAAATATAATAGGTTTAATCCAAGCACTCTGGAGGCAGAGGCAGATTAGTCTCTGAGTTGAGGTCAGCCTGGTCTACATATCAAGTTCCAGGTTAGCCAAAGTCAAATTGTGAGACCATCTCAAAAAACAAAATGAAAACAAAAAGCAAGTTTAACTGGGAGTAGTGATCCATGCCTTTAGTCCCCAGATAGGCAGATCTCTGTGAATTGTAGGCCATCCTGGTGTATATAGCTCGGTGACACAGTGAGACACTGTCCTAAAAAAAGGAACGAGAAGAACAAAAAAATAGAACAACAGACCTAGAATTCTCAAGCTGCTACATGCTAACCTTTAATCCTGGTGTCTAGGCACCCCCCAAAGCAATTACATCAGAGTCCTCGGTGTCAAGGTGGGATACTTTAAAATCAGCGTAGGAAGCCAGGTGTTGGTGGCGCATGCCTTTAATCCCAGCACTCGGGAGGCAGAGGCAGGCGGATCTCTGTGAATTCAAGGCCAGCCTGGTCTACAGAGTGAGTGCCAGGACAGCCTCCAAAGCAATACAGAGAAACCCTGTCTCAAAAAAAAAAAAAAAATCAGGGTAGGATTTTAAAGTTCAAATGTGGTTGTGTGTGGTGTCCAATGGCTGTAACCTCGGTGCCTGGGATGTGCAGGCAGGAAGACCAGACGGTCATCTGTGACTGGATAATGAGTCCCAGACCAGCCTGGGATACAGGAGCCCCTGCTCCCCTCCGCAGGGAAGCAAACAGCTTGAGTGGCTGAGAAAGGGGCCTTTGGCAAGATGGCACCGCCATGTGAAGTGGGAGAGAAGAGGCTGTGGAGAAGGGGTCCCCACAGGGAGCACCCTCACAACAGTGGACCTCACAGGGAGCACCCACACAAAAGTGGACCTCACAGGGAGCACCCACACAAAAGTGGACCCCACAGGGAGCACCCACACAACAGTGGACCCCACAGGGAGCACCCACACAACAGTGGACCCCACAGGGAGCACCCACACAACAGTGGACCCCACAGGGAGCACCCACACAACAGTGGACCCCACGGGGAGCACCCACACAACAGTGGATCCCACGGGGAGCACCCACACAACAGTGGACCCCACGGGGAGCACCCACACAACAGTGGACCCCACGGGGAGCACCCACACAACAGTGGACCCCACGGGAGCACCCACACAACAGTGGACCCCACGGGGAGCACCCACACAACAGTGGACCCCACGGGGAGCACCCACACAACAGTGGACCCCACGGGGAGCACCCACACAACAGTGGACCCCACGGGGAGCACCCATACAACAGTGGACCCCACGGGGAGCACCCACACAACAGTGGACCCCACGGGGAGCACCCACACAACAGTGGACCCCACGGGGAGCGTTTGCACAACATTGGATCCCAGCACCTCTAACACGGTGGGCATTTCCTAATAAATGGAAATGGGAAAGCACCAAGTTAGCTAGCCTTAGCCCTGCATGTTGCCAGCTCTGGTCAGTTTGGTTCTGAGTGCAGGAGTGGGTATGAGTTTTGCTTCCAGCAGGTGTAGATTTAAACGGATGGAAAAGAAATGAAGTCTGGCTCTTGGGACTCAAACTGGAGAGTTGGAGAGGCTCTCCATGAGGTCAGAATTACTAGAAAACATGAGTCCTTCCTCCCTCCCTCTTTCTCCCCCCCCCGTCTGTTTGGTGGCATTAGGTTAGGGTCCTGGGCCTTGTGTGTGCCAGGCACGAGTTCCACCACTTAGCTATATAACCACCCTTTTCTTTCTTTGTTTTTCTTCCTTTCTTCCTTCCTTTCTTCCTTTCTTCCTTCCTTTCTTCCTTTCTTTCTTCCTTTTTTTTTTTGATACAAGTTTTCTTTGTGTAACTTTGGAGGCTGTCCTGGAACTCGCTCTGTAGACCAGGCTGGTCTCAAACTCACAGAGATCCGCCTGCCTCTGCCTCCCGGGTGCTGGGATTAAAGGCGTGCGCCACCACTCCACGCATAGCCATCCTTTCTTATTTTGAGACAGCCTCTTGGTGAGCTGCCTGAGCCCCTCTGTGCTAAGATTTGATACAAGGCCCACTCTGGCCTGGAATTGATGACCCCTTTGTTTCTGCCTCCAGGGTTACAGGCATGCACTACCATTCCAGGCTCTCAGCCCGCTTTGAAATATTTGCTCATTTATATTTATTGTTTGGCCCTGGTGTTTGTGCGCATGCGTGGTACATGCATCTGTGTGCCCAGGGTGGCCATTGGGTGCCTTCCTCTATAGATCTCCATTTTATCTTTTGAGACAATCTTTCACTTAACCCGGAACTCACCAGATTGGTTAGACTGATTGGCCAGCAAGGTCTCTGGGATCCTCCTGCCTTTAACTCCAAGGCATATGGGCTATGGCCCCACGCTGTGCGTCTGGATTTTTATGAGGGTATTTGGGATCTGAACTGCCATGGGTCCTGGAACTGAACTCTCCTGTGGAAGGGCGGTGGGTGTTCTTAGCCACTGAGCATCTTTTCAGCCCCTTGATTTTTGGGGGGGGCAGGGTCTCACCATGAAGCCTTGCTGGAGAGAGACTTTACACCCTCAACTCTACATATCCACCACCACTTTTTTGCCTGAATGTGCCCTGTATAATCTCTGAGAGTGGTATTTGTTCTTGGTATAGCAGGCTCCAAGCGCAATTGCCCATCCTCAATATTGCTATTGACAGTCCAATGAGAAATTACAGATTTTTGGCTGAAGAAACCATGCCTGGGTCTGGAAACTTCCAAAGAGCTTTGATCTCCCTTCATTAGGGAGATGCAGACTCAAAGATGAAAGGTGGCTTTGTTGACTCACGAGAACCGACTAGAGCTGCAGACAGTTAGCAGGAGGGTATGTCAACTGTCATTTGTTCACGTCAAAATTCATTAGATTATCAAAGAGCAATGTGTATTAGGTCTTATCCATTAACCGCACTTTTTTAAAACAAGTCCTTAAACAGGCATGCTGTGAAGTCTATGTGTCTATGTGTCTACCTACCTACTTATGTCGAGACAGGCTCTTACTTTTCCGCTCTGGCTAGCCTGGAACACACAGCACATAGATCCTCCTGGCCTTGAACTGCTGGCTATCCTCCTGCCTCTGCCTCCTGAGTACGGGGATTGCAAGTGAGTGCTACCGCCCCTGGCCTTCTGTTGGTTCTTTTCTTTGTTTATGCTTTTATACAATATTCTTGTTGTCACTTTTGTGGCTTTATTCTTGGCTCTAGAGATAGAAGCCAGGGTTTTATATCTTCTGGGAATGCAGTACCGCTGAGTTGCAGCCCTTGGTTCTGTTCCCAGAATCCACGCTGGGTGACTCACAATCTATAGCTCCAGGCGATTCGGTACCTCTTCTGGCTTCTGTGGACACCAGAAAACACACACACACACACACACACACACACACACACACATACACACACACAGAGACAGAGACAGAGACAGAGACAGAGAGGGAGGGAGGGAGGGAGGGAGAGAGGGAGAGAGGGAGAGAGAGGCAGGGAGG